CCCCCACCCCCACCCCCACCCCCCCCACCACCACCGATGCAACTCGCGAGCGTTCACCTGTAGAATGGAGGCGATCTCGGCGTACGGTGTGGCGGCGGCCGCCGCCCCCCCGCCGGCAGCGAGGCCATCATCGTTCCCGGCAGAATCACCGCCGCCGCCATCGGCGGCACCACTCCCGGCCGCAGGTGTTGCCTGCTCTCCCGGCAGCATCGTCGTCGTCATCATCTTGCCCTCGTCCTCGGCGGTGCAGAAGTGCAGCACAAGCGGACCGCCCAAGTAGGAGGTGCGGATCTTCACGCGCGTGTCTTCCGTTTCCCGGCGACCGTCAGGGCGGCGAGCGCCGGTGCCGCTACCCGGGGCAGAAAACTTGGTCCAGTTTACCTTTTTGCATCGGACGAGGCGGCGGTGGCGGCAGGGGGTTCGTCCGAGTTTGGAGGTCTCAAATTGGCGACCGGGCCTGTGCGGTGCGGCTCCGTCTCGTCGTTGCATGCTCGGTTGCCTGGTCGGCGGAGCACGCTTTTTCGTGTGCCGCCCACAGTAGGAAAGGGGGCTGTCGAGTTGTTCGGTTGGCTGGTCGCATAAGATGGGTCCTGTTATATATCCTTCTTGTATAATTGTGTCCTTTCCTTTCGCAGGGTTGCTGGCACTGCTACTGCTGTGCACCTTTGGGAGTTCAAAAAGCTGTGGGCGAATCTTCGCACTGAGTTCAACGCCAGGCGGGCCACGAGCACCAACACTACCCAGTCAAAAGCGGGCATTCTTGCCGTAGTCGAAAGGTAGTAATGTCGACGACCTTTTCGTCACGCTTTGGTCCTTGCTCTACCATACCATCAAGACTCGCCTTGCAACGACTTCTGATGTGGCGGCGACACGAACGCAAGGCATCTAGCGGATGAACATATTTCGCCTTGTGCGCCCGCCCATGTGTACACTTTCCCCCGTGTTATGGACGACATTCGTTTTTCATAAGCATGGAGCAGCGCACAACTTAAAAGAGTATTCTACATTTTTACGATACTTCCCCGCCTTAAGAACGTCATTCACGGAGAAAAGCCGTGGGTGTCCCTTCAGCGGGGGCGACTGTACCTGAACGCTCTCCCTGGCCTTGCTGGTGCCCACCATTTTTTCGGCCTCGAAACGTGCCAGCACGTTCGCGAACCGGCCGTACTCGCTGTTCACGACATTGTAACCGTCTCTTCTGCGACACCGCAAACACGAGGAGGCCAAACACATCCATCCACAAATACGGCAGTAGGTCAGCTCCCCGACAAAACAAGGATGGTGGTCACACACGGGGGAGGGCATGAATACTACCCAAAGGGCAGCGTCGAAGCCTAAACATGGCGACGGGGTTCCAGGAAGTAGGTGTGCGCGTGTTGAGGGCGGCTGATCAAAGCAAAACACTTGGCGGAATCTCGCGTCCCACCGTCCATTCCGACTTCGTGCGACGGGAAAAAAAAATCACACAAAAAATGATACCGAGAGCCCGATCCACGTCATTTCTAGGACCCAGAACGGTTGGCTTGAATCCACGATGTAGAAAGCGCTCGCCAATCAAGAACCCCAAATTTTTTGCAATCCTCGATATCACATTTCCTCTGTGGCTCTCTATCAACAGCCATAAATACGACAAAAAACCGGTACAGTATCAGTGGCTTTCATAGTGGGGTCGGGCTAGAGTCGACGAGTTTGAGCCCGCGTGTTGCAAATCTGCCATGTTCTTGTGTGCGGGAGCTTACTGTAAATGCGCCGCACTCACTCAGTCTTCATGCGGTCGTTGATGAGGCTGGCCATGCACGGGAAGCGGGTGTTGTCTTCACCCATCGTCTTGAGCACCTTGAGGAAAAGAGCGTCGACCTGTCGCACAAAAAAAATATATACATACATATATATACGGACGCCGGACACCGGACAATCCGAGTCGAGTCGAACCGAGCCGATATTGTACCACAAAGCGCGACAACACAACAACGAGCAAAGAAACAACGGCGGTTCCAGGTGTTAGATGAATCGGTTGCTGTGTGTGATCATCCCGCCTACGGCGGACAGACGTAACACCTCGTACAAGACGCAAAAGGAAAACGATTCTCAAAAAAGCTAAAACACGGAGACTGGGAAGGCACAAAACGACCTTATCTACATCTGTGCAACCCCGTTCTACGAACGAGTAAAAAAAAAAAGATAAACACACACAAACACACACAAAAAAACACACACACACACACACACACACACCTCTTGCTTGGTCATGTACGTGCCCCTATTGGCACGGCCCGGGGCGGGGGCGCGATCCCTTCCCCGGCCTTCCCGAACACGAGTCCTCGGTGCTGCGCGGTCCCGTTCCCGTTCCCGTTCCCGTTCACGCTCACGCTCACGTTCCCGCTCACGCTCCCGATCGCGGTCCCCCCCGCGGACCCCGGATGCACCGCCGCCGCCGCCGCCGCCGCCGCCATCGCGACTGCGGGCGGTCTTGAGCGCCTCTTCTTGACGCAGCCTTCAGTGTGTCGGACAAGACAAAACAACGGCGGTTTCGTAGGTAAGGAGGCGATGGCGAGGAGGCGTTGGTCGGGTTGTTGATGCACCAAACGGGGATCGGCCACATCGAAAGGTTGCTCAAGGAAAAGGTCATCAGGGTTTCGATCGTATCTGTAGGATAAGGGGGACGGGGGACGAGGGGTGGATGGGGGGGGGTGGATACATCTCCGTGATCACTGAACAAGCTGCATAAGACTGCTGGGGGGGGGGGCAGGCCAAGGCGGAGAACCCAAACCTTTCGCGCCGGAGAGCATGAGCTTCAGAAGCCCGACGGTCCTCGATGGCCTTCATCTCTCTCATCCTGGCCCTCTCCTCCCTCTCCCGATTCAGGATGCGCTCCCTCTCCTTCTCCTTCTCCCTCTCCCTCTCCCTCTCGCGGTCCCGGATCCGCTCACGGGCGATTTGCACCTCCCTGAAGGCGGCGGGAAACACAAAAAAAAACACAACACAAAGGCCACACACCACAGCAATAAAGAGAATGACGTGGAAACACAGAGAAACAGAAAACGAACGGCCTGGAACACTCTTCTTACCAGTCCTACGAATTCTCCTGAGGGCAACCACTTGTACGCCATCGCCCAACTCTTGGTGCAAATTTTCAGGACCGTGCCGGCGTGCTTCATAAAACAGACGAGAGAATAAAAAATAAGACGTGATTTCAAGCAGAGTGCGCCTTGCGTGGTGAGATTCCGAGCCATTTACGCAAACATTGCAAGCATGACATGCACCTGTCGGCTGGTTCTCACAACAGAGGCGATTTGTGTTTTATACCATCGCCCGACCAGCAAACCTCCGCACTATTGCCCACGGGCGGCGGGGACAAGACTCGCCTTTCCCTGTCGCGCTCTCGGTCCCCGCTGCGGCCGCGATGCCCGCCGCCGGGGACAGGCGGGTACCCTCCCCTGCCATGCCCGTTCATTGACACGCCTCCGCCTCCCTGGTACTCCCCGCGGAAGTCGGGGGGGGCTCCCCTGCCCATCTCCATGCGTCCACCGCCGCCGCCGCCGCCGCCACCGCCGCCCTCGTTCGGGTAGGGCGAAGGTATGTGGTGGCTGGTCGGAATGCCCCTCCCTGGCGGCATCATGCCTGCTTGTGGTGCAAGGGTAGAAGGCGTTCGGGGGGGGGGGGAGGGGGGGGGATTTTGTTAGCAAGGCAACAAACACTCCCGAGCAACCCGCTGCGGAAATCTCGAAGCCGGTGCTGTACTCTGCTCTCATGCAACAGAGATGTATTCTCAGGCCGAGCGACAGGTACCGTTGGAAGCCCGCAACGACGCAAATGCAAGGGAATTCGAGGAAAAGATGAGCCACCTGAAGAACAGAGGGCCAAGCCTAGCCTTCATCTCGGGTGTGGGCACCCGAATCTAACCAAACCCTAAAGCCGGCGAAATCGCGTGACGCAGACGGAATATTCAACTCTGAATACTCTTAGAGTGCCGGGTATGCCGGTCAGCATAAGGCCGCCACTTGGACAGGGACCACTACAACAACAACAACAACAACAACAACAACAACAACAACAACATCCGTGAACACCTCACCTCCGCCTCCGCGGTATTCGTTACCCATAGGGTGCACGTCGCGGATGTGCACCTCCCTCTCGCGACCCCCGCCGCCGCCGCCGCCGCCGCCACCTCCACCGCGCATGCCACCGCCGGACATGACGAGGGTGTTTGCGCCCCCGTGGCGGCCTTCCATGGCCCTGCTCATCCGGGTTCCCGACAGAGAAGAAGACGTGCGGGACAACATGTGGGCGCGGTGCCGCAACTTGCCTTTCAAAATACTCTGGTAGTTTCTCCGAGCTGCAGCAGCACTATTGCTAATCAAGACCTTCATGATTCGTCGTGAGTGTGTGGCATTTCGGGTGTTGTCTTGTGTGTTTCTAAATACGGTACTCGCATCGCCCGCGTTAATGGGCTGACTAACGAAAGACATCAAATCAGTCTCAGTGCGGTTGAAAACAGAGCCGGAGTGAGTGCGTCCTGTGGGTGTTACACCTGTCTACCGTCGGTTTGGGCGGTCGATGCGATCCAAGCAAAAAAAACACGCAAAACACAATTAGGAAAAACGCAACATTCTTCCGTCTCACCTCTCACGGCTGCGATTGACGCGCCGGCCGTCGTCCCTGCTGCCCCTCCCGCCTCTCTCGCGCTGCCTCGCCGGCGCCGGGTCAACGAACCTCTCCACCTCCCTGCCACCGCCGTGGGGGGGCGCCACGTCTCGGCCCCTGCGATCCCTGCTGCGGGACTTGATGCGCTTGCTTCGGCCGGGGCTTACGCTCCGTGAGCGCCGGCGCCGCCTGGCGACAAAAAAAAAAAAAAAAAAAAGCCGAGGGAAGACAACAGGCCGCGCGGAAAGGTCAGGTGTCGTCGTCGTCATCGTCGTCTCCATTGGCGCTCGAAGCGCACTTAACCGTACGTTGCGTACGATATCACACACCCTGGACCGATTTTCGAAGCTCGATTTCCGGCAGGAAAAGCAGTGACGGCGCCGAAAAAATGGCGGCATCGGAACCGTCTCGTCGAGAGCTTTCCGAAAACGTATCCTTTGATTTCGGCATTCTCTTCGTCGTGGGGAAATCGAGGTTTGAAAATCGGTCCAGGGGGTGTGGTACCTTACGCAACCTACACGGTATATAGTAGGAGAGCAAAAACGCGTGTCAATGGGCGGGTAAGGGGAATGTGATCGCGTCATGAACCCGCATCACGATGTTCTTTGGCAGCATGGTCAAGTGTTTCACTTTTTTTTTGTATTGCACGTACATACAATCAAGAGAAAGAGTACCAGTTCGAGATAATACCACTGCAATCGAAGGGGATGCGTTGAAGTATTTGCAGTGAGTGTGAGTCACTGGTCTGTCTGTCATATAGGTTCCACTTGAGACCCTCTGTCTAACTGTTCCTCCGCTGGTTCCGCGGATCTTTCCGTGCGGTCCGCTGCGCATGTATGTCACTGTATGCACATGCCCATCTACCGCACGTACTGCAACCGCCCGGCAACTGCCCGGCTTGCTGTCTTGTCCTCTCTCGCCCGGGGAGATAATGCC